GGCGCGCTGCCTGCCCACCTGCGTCTCCAGCTCCACCACGCGCTGCCGCAGCTCCCTGCCGTCGGCCAGGGCCTGGGCCTCGCGCAGACGCACGCTCATCAGCTCGTCCTGCAGCTCGGCCAGGACCAGCTTCCGCGGGGACTCCTTCCAGCGGCCACCCCGGGACAGGTGGGCCTGCAGGGAGAGGAGGAGGTGGCGGCAGAGGCCGGCAGAGGCGCGGTGCTGTGTGCGGCCGCGCAGCCGCTCACCTGCCACGCGTCGGAGAGCTCCTGCAGCTGCAGCTTCAGCTCCCGCGCCGAGGCCACGGCCTCGCCCTCGCGGACCTTGAGGGCCTTCAGCTCCTCCTGCAGCCTGGCCACGTTGTTCTCATCGGGCAGCGAGCTGTTCCTCTGGGGGAGGAGAGGGGTCAGAGCCGGGGCAGAGGCCCGGCCCGCGGCCCACCTGCAGGACGGAGAGCCCGCCGCAGCGACTCAGCTCCACTGCCGGCACCCACCTCGGGGCACTTGGACCCCAAGAGCCGCCAGAAACAGAGCCACCTACGTACTCCAGCCGAAGACCCTGATCTGGAATGTGGGGGTAACCCGGGCCCCTGACAAGGCGCACCCGCGGCAGGGCCACGGGGTGGGGCCGTAACTTACTGCTCCGCCGCCAGGCAGGGCGGCCTGGGGTGGGTGCACCCAGGGATCTGAACCCACTTTCGGGGCCCATGCCAGCCCCGTGCCCTGTCCCAGTGGGGCAGGGACAGCCCCCGTGGGAACAGGCTGCGGCGCGCTTGGGGCCCGTCCTGCCCAGGCTGAGCGGTGAGGGAAGTGCTGGAGCCCCTCGGACTGAACCCCGCTGCCCTGCGAGGCCCTCGTGACCCCGTCTGGGTGTGGGGCTTGGGCAGCAGGAACTGCTGTGTGCACACTTCCCATGGTACGGAGGGAGGCACATCGGAAGGCACTTCTGAGCCAGCTGTCGGGACTGGCTGGGGACCCCACCTCAGACAGGCAGGGACACCGTGATGACACCCCAAACGGGGCAGGCTCAGGGGCTTGAGTGGGCATGGCTCCTGCCACCGTTGGGTGGCCCTGATGCCCTCGGCGGCCACTGACAGCCCACAGCGGCTGGAGAGGAGCCCGGGGCCCGGGCCCCAGCGCCCAGGCAGGGAGGCCGGCCTCCAGGGTGCCGGCTGTCTCCGTGGGCCCGGCGGGGTGGTGGGAGCAGCCGGACAGGCCTGGACTCCACCTCTCCCGCATGGGACCCGGTGGCTGGGCCCGACGCATTGCCCGAAGCCGGGACTGCAGCGCACGCCAGCCGGGGCCGCTCACTGAGCCTGCAGCCTGGGCTGTGGGCGGCGGCCTGCGCAGTGCATGTGGGCGTGGGCATGCGAGGCTCGCCTAATGGGCACCACCTAGGGCTGGGGAGGGTGTGCAGAGAGGGCCCGGCTTTTCCTCTGCCCAGACCCTGGTGTGGAGTCCGAGGGGACCGGGGACTCGGGGGAGGCAGGCAGTGAGGGCCTGACTCCAGGGCGCTCCCCACCCGCCCCTGCCTCGCCTTCCCTCGGCTAGGGCCTGGCCGTGCGCCCGTGTGCCCAGTACCGCCACCTGCGCCGCGCTCGCCCACCCCTGCCATCGAACCTTCTCCATGTCTAGAACCTTGTCCTGCATCTCCCGCAGGGCCCCCAGCGTCTCCGTCTCCCGCAGCCGCGACTGCTCCAGCTCAGTCTCCAGGTGGGCCACAAAGTCCTCGGTGAGGCGCGGGTTATCCTGGGCAGGAGGAGGTTGGCATGGGGCCCGGCTGTGGCAGGAGGGGGGCGCCTTCCTGCTAGCTGGCTGTGGGCGTGGGTCTTGGCTCCCCCCAGGGCCCTGGGCTAGCGCGCTTGGCTGTGGGCAGAGGGCGGTGAGATGCCCTCCCTGCGCCGTCCTGCCTCAGGGGAGGCGAGCCTCGTCACCGGGGCCCTGGTGCTCTGTGCCTGGGGACCTGGCGCCCCCTGGACTGACCTCACTTTCTTCCTGGAAAAGCCACACACAGGGGCCTTCTGAAGGGGACCTTCCGTGGCCTCATGATGCCCTCTGAGGGACGCCAGTGACTGCTGCCCAGGATGGCTGGGGTGGGGGTGGAGGATGGGTTCTCTGAGGCCTCCTTCCTGCTGGGTGGTCAGTGGCCTAACGTGGTGGGGTGGGAGTAGGATGGGGCTCAGGGCCTCGGAGATCCTGTCCCTGCTCCGCCAGCCTTCTCGCCCCCTCCTCCCCCGTTTCCAAACGGGCATCGACGGGAGTATGTTGCTGGGATCACTGTCTTGTTCAGTGCGCAGTTTCTCAGAGGGGCCCCGGGGTGATGGGCACCATCAAGGCCCAAGCCCGAGTCGCGGCGCATGGCCGGGGGAGTCCCGGGGCCACAACCAGCTTCCCACCCTGCCGCCTGCTGGCCACCATCCCCTTCCCAGTGGGGTCTCCGGGACCGGCAGCCCAGGCCTGCTGGCTGCCCTTGGCTGCGGGGGGCTCCGAGCGCAGTGGGTGCCCGTGGCCGCGGCTCCCAGAGGCCCCCAGGGGAGCGCTCAGGGCCTGCCATCCGCCACTGGCCTGCTGCCTGCAGTCCCGCCCTGCCTCGCCCGCTCGGCATCCCCTGACGGCGAGAGCTCAGCGTGGCAGGTGATTGGCAGAGCGGAGGCCTCACGCCAAGATGGTGGCTCCGGCTCGGGCCCACTGGACGTGCCCCCGGAGCCAGGTGGGGCTACAGCACCCACGGGCTGAGGGCCGCTGTGCAAGCACCGGTACCCCTCGCGCTGTGGCTCCTGAGGGCGGGAGGGGGCATGGGAGGCCAGGTGAGGCCCCGCCTACCTGTCCCCAGGAGCAAAGCAGCCCCCCGAGCCAAGGCCTCCAGGCCCCGGGGGCCGGCCTGCTCCACCTCTCTCCAGGGCCCTGGGCAGGTTCTCGGAGTCAGGGACCCACCTCACTGCGGGGCCTGAGCTGGGCCTCCAGGGGGCCTAAGTCTCCTCTCCCGCCCCCAGGGTGTCTGCGTGGGCTCCTGCACTGGGCGTGGGGCCCAGCGGCTACTGAGGCATCAGCTAAGGAAGGTGACCTGGGCGCAGCGGAGGGCCGGCCCGGGAAGCCCTTCTCAGAGAGAGGAGCTGTGCGGTGCTCAGACCTCCCACCTTCGGAGCTGGGGTTCAGGGCTACAGGAGATGGGCGTGCCCCTCTCCCCAGCCTGCCAGCTCAGAGCAGTGGGCACAGCCCTGGGCACCGGAAGAGAGAGCCCCTCCCGGCCCCTGCCCTGCTGGGCCTGCCATGGGGAGGCCCACTAGCCCCTGGGCCCTGGGCAGACACCGGGTTCCCTCAAAGAAAGTCCCATCAGTCAAGGGAAGGGCCGTGCGGGCCAGCCAGGCCTCCAGGAGCCCAGGGTGCCAACGCGGCCAGGGAGGCAGACGCCTTGGTTCGCGTGGCAGGTGCCACCCAGAGCGTGATGGGAAGTCGCCGCACCCCTCCCCAGTCGGGATGCTCTGCAGCGAGCGTGGGGATGGCGGGAATCTGCCTAGGCTCTGGTAACACCCCTCACCTGGCCCTCCGGGAAGGGGGGCCGAGGGGCAGGTCTGTCGCTCCCTGCAGCCAGGCAACTGGCTGAAGCCTCGCGAGGACGGGCTGGCCGGGCCCCGCCCCCGGCCCAGTACCTGCTGCTCCTGCAGCTGCCGGATGGTGCTCTGGGCCTTCTGCAGGTCCTCGGCAGCTGAGCTGCACTGCTGCCGCGCCACCGCCAGCTCCCGCTTGATGACGTAGTTCTCCTCGGCCTCCTGGGCCCGCGTCACCTGCCCCTGGGCACAGCGAGGACGGGGTGCTGTGACCTGCTCACCTGGCCCCGTGGGCGGGAGGGGCGCGCCTGGGCGGGGCCCACGGGGCCTGCATGTGTGCAGGGCAGGAGTGGGACGCCCTCGCCGGACTCTGGCCGGAGGGGGACGCAGGCCTGCACCTGCAGACAGCCCCTTCTCTCCTGACTGCTCTCAGATGGTCCTTGATGAGGCCAGAGAGGGGTCAAGCCCCTGCCCGGCGGCGCTCCGCGGGGGAGGCTGGGCCTCGGGGCCGCGGAGGCCTGGGCTCCGGGCCGGCGGGATGCGCCCCTTCTCCAGCCCTGACCGGGGTTAAAACACTGCCTGCCCATTATCTTGCCTTCACCCCACCCAATCTTGGGCCCCCCTCCCGTGTGGAGCCACCAGGCAGAGGCAGAAGCTTCCAGATAAAGCCACTCAGGGCAAGGCAGCGGCAGAAGCAGGTGGGTGAGAGCAGACGCAGGCCTTGCGTGGGAGCAGGGGGCGCGGCGGGGGCCCGGGGGCGGGCAGGGCGGGAGGCCCAGGCGGGTGCCTGAGCCCAAGGGGCCGCTGTGCCCCTCGGCCGGCCGGGGAGGCTGTGCCCATGCTGCTACCTCCACTCACAGACGCCCCCCAGCCCCTCGGGGTGAGGCCCCAGCTGCCCCCGTGCAGCGTCAGGCGGCCGCGTGCCCCAGGGCGGCGGCGGCCAGGGAAGAGGCGGTTACTGGCTGTCGTGTGCGGACCGTGGCGGACACGGAGAAGGAGACAAAAGGCTACAGTACCTGGATTAACCTATCAGCCAGAGCTGCGCTCTCCTACGGGCGGAGGGGTCCGAGCGACAGGGGAGAAGGCAGAGCAGAAGTGCAGGGGCGGGAGGGAGAGACAGACAAGACCACTCGTCACTACGCAGCGGGCTAGCTCTAGAAGCGGGGAGAGGAGTGAGCCCGAAAAACCAGAGAGCCAGCAGAGAGGACCCAAAGGAAGACCAGAGCCAGAGCAGCTCCCTCTGGGGGGTCTGTGTGGGCAGGTGGCGGGCGCCCTGGCGGCTGGGGACAGTCGGCGCTGTGGGCCTCACCCGAGTGATAAGGGGCACCCCCAGCGGGTGAGGGGCTGGGTGGCAGTGCCGGGCTGGGAGGGTGGTGGGCACATTTTAATTCAGAGGCAGAGCGAGACCTAAGGCTTGGGGGGGAGCAACAGAGCCCTGGGGAGGGGGTCGTGGGAGTGAGGGCCCTGCCTCTATTCCCATCTTTAAAACTGCTGGGGCCCAGGGTCAAGGACAAGGCACCCCTTGGAGGTCGCCCCCCCACCTCTGTTGGAGTGGGGTGCCTTGGGCAACGCAGGAGCTCCGTCCGCCCTCCCGTAGCGCCGGGCGGGACAGGCACAAAGATCGACTGTCCGCAGCTGGCCGGGATGCGACTCAGCCCCACGCCCCGTGTTTCCCCACAGCCCCGAGCTCAGGGCGGCGGCGGCTCGGGGTGGGGTTCAGTGCGCCCCCACGGCCCGCTGGCTAGGGTGGGCTGGCCCAGGGCAGGAGGCTGGCCTGCTTGGGCCAGGCGGGCTCTGGGCGACAGGCGGGTGGCGAAAGCCCTCACCTTCTCCAGGGTCTCAATCCGCTGCTTCAGGAGCCGGTTCTCCGTCCGGAGCCGCTGTGGAGAGGGGGCACGTCAGCGCCCAGCTCCTGCGCCCGCGGGGCGCCCGCGCCCGG